GATTAGCACAGGAGAGTGAAGGACTGGGCTATGTTCCATGTCAATGATATCAACTACTAAAATGGGCTGTAAAGTTCTCTTGCAGTTATAAAATGCTATGTAAATGCTAATAAAAATAAAACAATTCTCAGATCTATTTAATTTCATGTTGTTAGACAACTCTCCTGTTTTAAACTTAAGTAAGAACACCTTTAGAAACCGGATACTGGAAAAAACAAACAAACCTCGATATGTTTTAGGCAGTATTAGTATGGCTAAGTCCCATCTTTAATCCCACTCTAATCTGAGAGAATAATATGAGCCACTTGACTTCAGTTTAAGGCACTTTTCTTGAGAATAACTTCTCGTAACATTAGTATGATTTCATGATACACAGCTGTGTTTCTGTTCGTTTCGAGCACATAAGCCATAGGAAACAAGGAACAGCACATGTTAGATGGAATCAATACTAATAGAGAGAGTGGCTGTTATTAACTGCATAATGAGACATTAGTTGGATTGAGTTTAGCATGTTATGTTTTTGGTTCAATGCTTTCTGAGAGGCTGGGCAGGGGGAAGGAAGGGAAAGAAATCAATGTGCTTTCTGAGCTTCAGTTTCCTCTGGGTATACTAAGAAAGATAACTGCACAGTCACTTCACAGGAGAGCTGTAAATAACCCAGAATACCTTCAATTTCTTAAAAATCCCAGGAATGAACACAGACATGCATACACACATACCTGATTAACTACATCTTTTAATTTTCCTAAAGTCTAGCATAAATATAAGAAATCTACAAACAAAAACCCTACTTGGTACAATAAATGTTTCTGAAAAGTATGACCGAAAAAAAATGTGTTTATAAACTGGACCATATCACACACATTGGGATACCTTATTATTTAAAAGACTACTTTCAATTAAATAAACTAAAGATTGGTATTAAAAATACTCTCTCCAGGGACACCTGGGTGGCTCAGTTGGTTGAGCGGCTGCCTTTGGCTCAGGTCATGATCCCAGCGTCCTGGGATCGAGTCCCACATCGGGCGCCTTGCTCATCAGGGAGCCTGCTTCTCCCTCTGCCTCTGCCTGCCATTCTGTCTGCCTGTGCTTGCTCTCTCTCCCTCTCTCTCTCTGACAAATAAATAAATAAAATCTTTAAAAAAAAAAAAAAATACTCTCTCCAGGAGCGCCTGGGTGGCTCAGTGGGTTAAGCCTCTGCCTTCAGCTCAGGTCATGATCTCAGGGTCCTAGGATCGAGCCCCGCACCAGGCTCTCTGCTCAGCAGGGAGCCTGCTTCCCCCCACCCCCGTCTCTCTGCCTGCCTCTCTGCCTACTTGTGATCTCCCTCTCTCTCTGTCAAATAAATAAATAAATAATCTTTAAAAAAATACTCTCTCCGTTATATAGAAAGTTCTAGATCCCTGGAGATATGTATCCTTTAAAACAGGTCTCACCATAGCAACCTGCACGTACACAACTTAACCTGTGCCTTATTTCCCAGCCACCACTGGCTCTGTTCCTGTTCTTAGGCTCACCCCTAGTGGCTGGGATTTGGTGTCTCCTGCTATTCCTCTGGTTTTATAACTCAACCCACTCCTGTCCCATGGCATGAGCCTTGATCGTCCTCGTAAATCCCGACTAGAACTCCTCTCACTCTCTTGGGCCTTGCAGGAACCCTGCCCTCTGAGGCAGCCTCAGGATACCTTTCCTCTCCCCTGCTCCTTCTAGACTTATTTACAAGGGCTCTTCTGATTATTTACTGAAAGGAATGAAAAAAAAAATCAAAATAAAAGAGAAGGAACATCACCAGATCACCAGGGTCAACACAGCCTCTAGTCACGCCAGACCCACTGAATCAGCAACTGCAGGGGTGGGCCCAGCACTCTGCAGTTTAGAGGTCCTCCAGGTGATTTTTATGAACATTAAAGGTTAAGAACAACTGGTCTGGAAGAAAAAAGGGCATCTGACAAATATTTTGGACAAAATGAGGCTTCTCATTAAGAAAAATTAATAATCAATGACACAGAAGAATGTCCAAAATATTCTATGTACTAAAACCATAAGTGCAGTATAATTCTTGTAAAATATCTTAGAAGTATATTTCCACATGGAAAAATGTCTAGAAGGTTACACACCGAATTGTTAATAGTGGTTAGCTTGGGGAAAAGTCATTTGACTTTTCCTTTATGGATATCTGTATTTTCTAATCTATAAGCATGTATTATTTCCTAATTTTAAAAAATGGTTAATCTAGTCATCTTCCACTCCTCTCTGACAAAACTCGGAGGTAAACATTAACTCCGTCCCCAATAGATTTCAGTGTCTGGACTAATGAAGTTTTGTGATGCTTTAGGGAATTCTAGAGGAAGTGAGGCAGAGATAGTGCTCAGTGCTTCAAGACTCAAATCAGTGTTTCTATGAAAAGCTCCTGTGTCTGGAAATGACCGGTCATAAAGCCTGAGAGATTCTGCCCTTCTTAAATAGGCCAACTTAACAAAGAGATGGTAGAGTTCTGAGGGAAAGCAGAACAGATTAAAAACTTCCCTTGGAAGACAATTATTTGTTGCAAAACTTATGTATACAGTGTCCCATTTTCCACCACCCCACTCCCCAGCCCTGTTTGTGATCTCGCAGTCATTCTGCAATTACCTTAGTCCTTCCTCAACCTGGCTCCAGGTATACAGTATATGCATATGGCAGACCAGAACGGGGTCTGAAAATAAAGGAGACTGGTAGAAATATTCCAGAACAAGACAAAGAGAAGAGAAAAGAGGTGAGTGTGTATGTACATATCCAAGATCAAGTCTGGTCCTAAGAAATATTCTTTAGATCATGATGTACCATGGGAAAATCCTGAGGCTTCTACGAGCTGTTCTCATGGGATCATTCAATTTTTTCACCTCTGGCAAGTTTCCTATTAGAAGCATTCTATGCATTCATAAAGGACCCCGAAGCACTTTACCTGTATTATCATCATGCACAGAAGCCACTCAGTGTAATCTGTATACATTCTCTTGCTCTTCACTGCCTACAAGCATATGGGTGGGGCAGAAACAGAAAATACAGTTGTCTCCTTCAGGATAGCTGTTTTGCCCCAGAAACCAGAAAAACTCAGTTTAAAAAAAAAAAAAGCTTTCCGTAATCCTTAATAATTAACTAGTTCATCTTCACTAAAGGAAAACTACTTATACCAGGAATCTTTACTTTGAGCTAAGAAAATTGATAAAGGTCACACCAATTTTTTTCTATCAAGATACTCTCTATCTCTGGAGTTCTAACTACACCAAAAGACAAGAGATATGACCAATGTCCCAATGCTTTCAATGCTGTATGGAGAGAAAGTTATTTTGTAGAATGAAGACTGAAGCCACCTTTTGTAAAGCTTGTCATCATCGGTCTGCCTCAATAGAGCTTCAGATTAGAAAATTGGGGCACAAGATAATTAGATGGTAGAAAGGAGATGAACACCAGTGCTCGGTCTGCAATGTGACATAAAAGAAAGAGCACAGGGAGTGAAGTCAATTTGAATCCCAGCTCTAAATTATACTACAGTCAAGGCAAATGGCCCTACCTCTCTAAGCCTCCGTGTCCTTATCAATAAAATGGGAATAATAAGCTACTCTACCAGGTTGTTACAAAAAATCACAAGTATGTAAGAGCAGAGGGGGGAAAAGAAGTTAGTGGGTAGAGAGTTTCAGTTTGGAATGACTGAAGAAGTTCTGGAGATGGATGGAGGTGGTGATGATGGCTGGACACAATACGAATACTTAATGCCAGTGAACTACACATTTAAAAATGGTTAGCAATGGTGGTTCAGTGGTAGAATTCTTGCCTGCCACACGGGAGGCCGGGGTTCAATTCCCAGCCAATGCAAACAGCAGATCCCCCTCTGCCCCCCGCCCGCCTCTCTGCCTACTTGTGATCTATCTATCTCTCTGTGTCAAATAAATAAATAAAATCTTTAAAAAAATAAAAATAAGGGGCGCCTGGGAGGCTCAGTGGGTTAAAGAATCTGCCTTCGGCTCAGGTCATGATCCCAGTGTCCTGGGATCGAGCCCCGCATCGGGCTCTCTGCTCAGCGGGGAGCCTGCTTCCTCTTCTCTCTCTGCCTGCCTCTCTGACTACTTGTGATCTCTGTCTGTCAAGTAAATAAATAAAATCTTTAAAAAAAATGGTTAAAGTGGTAAATTTCATTATGTATATTTTACCACAATTTTTTAAAAAGATATGTAAGGCTCCTAGCACAATGTCTGGCTCTCTTAGTGAGTACTCAAGAAATGCTAGTCTTTTCCCAATATAAAGGACTTTAAATTAAAAAAAGGTTGGGGGTGGGAATACAAAAAGTCAAACAAATTTGTGCTCCTTTCCCTATCTGATTGTGAGAGGCTTTGACTCTCAGGCAGAGCCAGCTGGGACCAATACCCAGTAGTGCTACAGGAGGTCTCTGAGTAGGAGAAGGGAAGCTGTATTATCTTCAGATCCCAGTCCACCCCCACCCTGGTATGGAGTCTCCCAGAATATCAGTCTTATAGCTCCCAACATATTTCGAAGAAAGCCAGGAAGCTGAAACCATTTCCCAGACCACAATCCAGGTCATGAGGACAAAAGCATTCACAGTGGCCACTGGTTCCTGTAAGTAGGAGAGAGACAAGACACTAGTGCTGAACACCAACTGGATGGGTCTGGAGCCTGTTCCAGTCCCCATTAAGATGGTCAGTACCTTGGATGCCTTTGACTGAGTTTAATGGACCCAGAAGACAGTAGTCTCAAAGGCCCAGTACAGGAGGATTAAAAATGCACTTGTCCACAGTTCAGGGAAAACAATGATTATACGTTATAAGTCATAGAGAAGGGAAAAAACAGATGACTTATCTCCAGGCATATTAAAACATGGCTTCTGACAGGTAGGCTTTATTAGATCTCGATGCGATGTTCAGATAGATGATCACTAATATCCCTCAAACCTAGCTCAAGGAGAACGAAACACGATACCCAATCAATTCCAAAACAATACTTGCCTTAGGATCTGAGCTCTTGAACTTCAACCTTTCCACCAACTCTATCATAGCTGCCTTCAGTCCGCCTGAGTCTTTGCTCTGAAAGAAAGAAAAGACAGGGATCATTAGACAGCATTTTTATGCTCTCTCAAACACAAACAGCATTTCATGGGACAATGAAATGGAAAGCAATTTTTTCTTCTTATTAGCCAAAAGAACTAAATGACTAAGGAAAGCTGCACTGCCCCTCTTCCTCTCTCTACTGGACAAAGAGGGTCGGGGCATAAATTGCCCAGTGACCTGAGAGAACTACTTGAATGAAAATTAAATGCCATTTGCACAGGCTGACTCACTGCTTCATCTCAGGGTTCAACTGTTCACTGTTGACTGTTCACTGAGGGCCGAGGCTCTGAGAAGAGATTTTGATCTAGGATGTCCATTTTATGACCTAGTGATTTTTAACTTAAACTTCTACATACCAAATACAGAAGCATGCAGTATTAAACATTCTTATAGAAATAAAAACAAAGAAAATGAAAGATTTAATTAGAAATGGTATTACAGTGTACTGGTTGAGTACAGGTTTTTGAGTCAGACATATAAGGTTTCAAATTTGGGATCTGTCATTAACTAGTAGATTAACCTTAGGTAAATTATAGACTTTCTCAAAACCTCCTGTCCCTTCTATAAAATGTGAATAATAAGCAGGGTTATTTTGAGGCTTAACTGGAACAGTGTCAAGGTATTGCCCAGTATGTGGCACATAGGAAGTGCTCAACAAATGTCTCCTCTTATAATTATTGCATTACAATGATTTATTTTTTTTAAGATTTTATTTATTTATTTGAAACAGACAGAGAGAGCATGTGTGCGCACAAGCAGGAGAAGCAACCGAGAGAGAGGGAGAAGTAGACTCCCCACCAAGCAGGGAGCCTGATGCAAGGTCAATCCCAGGATCCTGGGATCATGACCTGAGCCGAAGAAGGCAGACCCTTAACCGACTGAGCCACCCAGGTACCCCTGTATTATAACAATTTAGAGTAGAACAGTCCAAGAGAAATGTAAGCCACAAATCCAAGCCACACAGGTAATTTTAAGTTTTCTAGTAGCCATAAAAATAAAGTGAAACTAATTCTAATAGATTTTACTTAACTCAGTATATCTAAAATATTATCTCTGCAACATGTGATTTCAACATGAGACATTAGATACATTTTTCATACTATGTCTTTGAAATCCAGTGTGTATTTCACATATACACTATTCAGTTTAGACAAACCACATTTCAAGTCCTCCAAAGCTATATACAGCTAGTAACTACTGCACTGGTAAAGAGCGATTCAGAGAACACACTCTAGAGCCACACAGCCTGGATTCAAGTCCCAACTCTACCACTGGTCACCTGATCTTAGGCAAGTCACTTCGCCTCTCTATGCTCCTATCTATCTGTAATATGAAGCTAATAACAGTACTTACTTCACAGTGTTATGGTAAGATTAAATGAACTAATACATGTTAAGGTGCTTAGAAAAAGACCCGGAACACGGTATATGCAACAGATTCCTGAGACATTTTTATTATTGTCTATCTGCCTCAAAACGTTTTAAACTCCTTAAGAGTAAGAACTACAGCTTCTATCTCTGTATTTGTGCCCAGCATCAAGAAGGTTTTGAAAAAGCCGTCTGAACAAATGAATGAACGAATATGCAATCTTAAGAAATGAATGACCTAATTAGGATACATATGTGTAGCACATTCCAAAATCATATAAATTAGTTTATTTTCTTATCTCTACTCCTGTGTAGGATCTGGTAGGATCATCACCTGCATCTTACCAATGGTGATAAGGAAGCACAAAGAAGTAAAATGACTGACATTTTTATGGGGGAAAGGATAATCAACAGGTACAATATAAACAAACACTACAAATATGTCTACTCAAAATTGGTCTCAGAATCAGTATAATTTTCCAAATTTGCAGAACCAATTCCAATTCCTCTAAAACAGGAAATTCTTACTAAGACCCTTTATGTAGATTAAAATAGACTAAAGGCTTAGTCTTGTTTTCCCGCTAACTCCCTTTCTCTCCCAAGTCTATCCAGCAAAAGCCTGTTGTAACATGACTAGATGGGTATCTGCGTTAGATATGCTCTCCAAACACAGCATAGCTGACATTCCCATTCTAGCTGGGGTTCTAAATTTTAATAGTTTGTAGTTTTAAAATAGTGGTTTACAACTCTCCAAATTTCATCACCAATTTAAATCTTTAATCTCTGTGATCTCATAGCAGACAGCTGGGAAAAAGAATCTGGAGGTCACATACCAGAGAGTGGGTGAGACCTGATGTACCTAAAAAAGGGTTAAGTTGCCAGACACAATCCTGCTTTTATGAGATGATCAGACAATAAAGCCTGTCTGGTGATATCATTTCTGTAACCTGCTTCTCATTGGCTGAACAAGCAGGTCACTTGTCTCTGGAAAGCTCTCTTCCCCCACATCCCAGCTGCCAGCGCCCATTTTAAGCTCTTCAGCAAGAGCCCTGATATATTATGACTTCCCCCCCAGCTCTAGAGAACAGAAAGGAATGCACCAAAACTGTGCCTTAAAACATTCAGAAAAGAAACAGAACGACGAAGGCATCCCTCAGAAGCAGACAGCACGTCTGCAGGCAGATGTGCCTTGTGTGGAGAGATAAGGGAAACTAGCCTTCTTTTATAAAAAATACAGTGTGTCAGCAGAATCCTCCCTCCTTTTCACCAAGCATCAGCAGCGCCTACCCAGGGGAGAGACAGAAGAAGATGCACGGATACTCTCCCTTCAGGAAATTCACCCATTCCAACCCATACCCCTGCTTTGAGAATTATTCTCAGAGACTAACTGGGGTCTCTGTTGAGTCAGCTATACTCAGTGTCTAAAATGGGTGGTGAAGAAAACATTCTCAGTGTTTTTTTGTTTTTGTTTTTGTTTTACTCGTCAAATAAGTAGATGGTCAGAAAAGAGAGGCTTCCCTGGGCAGACCTGCCTCCAATAGCTGCAGGGCTGGAGCTAAAGTATTAAGTGGAAGACCCTGGCCCCAGATTCACCTCCTTTCTTTCCCCCACACACGTTCTGCACCTCGAGAAGCCTTGTATACAGATGTCACGCTAGTACACCTCAGCTGTGGGTGTACTAAGTAGTCACCCTTGGCCACACCTGGGACCTAGTAATGCACACATCAGGGGGAGAGGCTAATGGCTTGATCCATCTTTGGGAAGACAGACTCAGAAAAAGGCTCTGCAGGCCTCGAAAGCAGGTTCAAGACATTTTGTCTGGTAATTCTTGGGTCCTGGGTACTTGGAGAGTCGTCCAGAAGGGAACGGGCACGGCCCTCTACAGGAAGGGCCCTCTAAAGCATGCAGCATAGGGCAGGGGCACAGGGTTATCTAGGTCTAAGGTGGTCTCTGAGATTGAGTGTCCCCAGAGCAAAGGGTGGTTATCATGTTTTAGTGAATTATCTGTCTGAAAAGGCAGTCATCAGCCAAAAGGTAATAACCCTCATACTTCCCTACTGTGGTGGAACAGAACAATTGCCTCTGAAACCTGTGTTCTAATTGAGAGGTGGACCGTGACAGTAACAAAGGGCGGCTAATTCTAACCTTATAGACATTTGGTTCCATAAATGTTCAGGTTCTACTGTGTCAGCCCTTGCAGCCAGCACTATGGGTGGTGAACTCCGAGTCTCCTGATATCGCTCTTCTCCACCTCCATCCCACCCAATACCTTCCAAGAACACAGGAGTTCAATGTAAACATATCTTGTTTACACACCTCTTTCCTGCCCTGAAAGAGTGTAGAATAAAAAGAAACAAGTGCTATGCTGTGACACCCACCTCTCAGAGTCTGATTAATCTGTGAAGATGTAGCATGCTTCACAAAAGCCAACTCCTAGGGATGAATCGTAACAAAGCAAAGGAAAGGACAAAATGCCTTACACTTGAAATTTTATTCTTTATTCTTCAAAGCACTTGTATATGCTCTTTCACTGGCATTTCAGGATAAACCTAAAAACTTAGGGTATTCACACTTCACAGCTGAGAAAATGGCTCATGGAAATCAAATGAGGAACCTACAAATCACAGGGCTCATACACACTGGCAATTCGCAATTACACGGTAACTAAGAGGTGGTGTGTTCTCACTTTACACTGGTCAACAACGGCTCTGTGGAAGTCAAATGATTCCCGGCCAAATCACAAAGCTAGTCAGTCAGGATCAAAACCAGGATCAGAACTATCCACATGAAAAAGATTTACATACATACAACAGAAGGGGCTGGTGTCAACAACACATACGGAAATACAGAAAGGTATTCTTATAAATAAGAAAAAGTCAAATAAGCCCAAAAGAAATCCGAACATAACAGAAATGCAGAATGGCTAAGATACATATTAAAAGGTGTAAAAAATGCTCAAACTTACTAGCAATTAAGATATTTCTTAATCAGGGGCGCCTGGGTGGCTCAGTGGGTTAAAGCCTCTGCCAGGTCCTGGGATTGAGCCCCACGTCGGGCTCTCTGCTCAGCGAGGAGTCTGCTTCTTCCCTCTCTCTCTCTCTGCCTGCCTCTCTGCCTACTTGTGATCTCTGTCTGTCAAATAATAAATAAAATCTTTAAAAAAAAAAAAGATATTTCTTAATCATCTTGAAAAAAAGTTCTGATCGGATATCAATTGATGAAGGGCTTTGGAAAAACTGGGGACTTCCATATATTGCTGATACAAAATGATGAAGCTACTTTTGAAATCAAATACCTGGCCAGTCCATTTCTCTCTTTATCCCCTAAAGAAAACCCAGCTCCTGTGTCAAGTAGGCATGCACAGAAATATTCATGGTAGCACTTTCTGTAGTACCAAAAAACCTGGAAACATTCTAAACATCCATTAACTGTGGGTGGCTAAGTAAGCTCTGGAATTAGCAAAGTGTGGAATATAATCTAGCAAATAAAAAGAATGAAGTAGATCTGTTTTGTGCCTGTATACAAGGCAAGACATAATGATTTTTTTTAACTTGCAAAAGGATACCTACTATAAATATAATTTTTTAAAAAAGCAAAACTGTTACTCTC